AGATTTTTCGGTTTAAATTACAAGGCGAACAGGAAATCCAGAAGGTGACCAACGATCGTTTGGTTTTCGGTAGCAACTTGCTACTTATTATGATCGCCTGGTAGTTCAACCCGAAAAATTTACAATTTGCCATGAAAATGTAAATTTTGTAGGCAAAATAGTGAGATTTTTCGGTTTGAGTTACCAGGCGAACAGGAATTCCAGAACGATGACCAACGATCTTTTGGTTTTCGGTAGCAACCTACTGCTGATTATGATCTCCTGGTAATTCAGTCCGAAAAGTCTACAATTTGCCATACAAATGTACATTTTGTAGGCAAAATAGTGAGATTTTTGGGTTTGAATTACCAGGCGAACAGGAATTGCAGAAGGTGACCAACGATCGTTTGGTTTTCTGTAGCAACCTGCTACTTTTTATGACCGCCTGGTAATTCAACCCGAAAAGTCTACAATTTGCATTGAAAATATACATTTTGTAGGCAAAATAGTGAGATTTTTCGGTTTGAATTACCAGGCGAACAGGAATTCCAGAAGGTGACCAACGATCTTTTGGTTTTCGGTAGCAACCTGCTGCTGATTATGATCGCCTGGTATTTCAAGCCGAAAAATCTACAATTTGCCCTAAAAATGTTTATTTTGTAGGCAAAATAGTGAGATTTTTGGGTTTAAATTACCAGGCGAACAGGAATTCCAGAAGGTGACCAACGATCTTTTGGTTTTCGGTAGCAACCTACTGCTGATTATGATCTCCTGGTAATTCAGTCCGAAAAGTCTACAATTTGCCATAAAAATGTACATTTTGTAGGAAAAATAGTGAGATTTTTCGGTTTGAATTACCAGGCAAACAGGAAATCCAGAAGGTGACCAACGATCGTTTGGTTTTCGGTAGCAACCTGCTGCTGATTATGATCGCCTGGTAGTTCAACCCGAAAAATTTACAATTTGCCATGAAAATGTAAATTTTGTAGGCAAAATAGTGAGATTTTTCGGTTTGAGTTACCAGGCGAACAGGAATTCCAGAAGGTGACCAACGATCTTTTGGTTTTCGGTAGCAACCTACTGCTGATTATGATCGCCTGGTAATTCAAGCCTCAAAATCTACAATTTGCCATGAAAATATACATTTTGTAGGCAAAATAGTGAGATTTTTGGGTTTGAATTACCAGGCGAACAGGAATTCCAGAAGGTGACCAACGATCTTTTGGTTTTTGGCAGCAACCTGCTGCTGATTATGATTGCCTGGTAGTTCAAGCCGAAAAATCTACAATTTGCCATAAAAATGTACATTTTGTAGGCAAAATAGTGAGATTTTTGGGTTTGAATTACCAGGCGAACAGGAATTGCAGAAGGTGACCAACGATCTTTTGGTTTTCGGTAGCAACCTACTGCTGATTATGATCTCCTGGTAATTCAGTCCGAAAAGTCTACAATTTGCCATAAAAATGTACATTTTGTAGGAAAAATAGTGAGATTTTTCGGTTTGAATTACCAGGCAAACAGGAAATCCAGAAGGTGACCAACGATCGTTTGGTTTTCGGTAGCAACCTGCTGCTGATTATGATCGCCTGGTAGTTCAACCCGAAAAATTTACAATTTGCCATGAAAATGTAAATTTTGTAGGCAAAATAGTGAGATTTTTCGGTTTGAGTTACCAGGCGAACAGGAATTCCAGAAGGTGACCAACGATCGTTTGGTTTTCTGTAGCAACCTGCTGCTGATTATGATCGCCTGGTAATTCAAGCCTCAAAATCTACAATTTGCCATGAAAATATACATTTTGTAGGCAAAATAGTGAGATTTTTGGGTTTGAATTACCAGGCGAACAGGAATTCCAGAAGGTGACCAACGATCTTTTGGTTTTTGGCAGCAACCTGCTGCTGATTATGATTGCCTGGTAGTTCAAGCCGAAAAATCTACAATTTGCCATAAAAATGTACATTTTGTAGGCAAAATAGTGAGATTTTTGGGTTTGAATTACCAGGCGAACAGGAATTGCAGAAGGTGACCAACGATCTTTTGGTTTTTGGCAGCAACCTGCTGCTGATTATGATCTCCTGGTAATTCAGTCCGAAAAGTCTACAATTTGCCATAAAAATGTACATTTTGTAGGCAAAATAGTGAGATTTTTGGGTTTGAATTACCAGGCGAACAGGAATTCCAGAAGGTGACCAACGATCTTTTGGTTATTGGTAGCAACCTGCTGCTGATTATAATCGCCTGGTAATTCAAGCCTCAAAATCTACAATTTGCCATGAAAATATACATTTTGTAGGCAAAATAGTGAGATTTTTGCGTTTGAATTACCAGGCGAACAGGAATTCCAGAACGATGACCAACGATCTTTTGGTTTTCGGTAGCAACCTACTGCTGATTATGATCTCCTGGTAATTCAGTCCGAAAAGTCTACAATTTGCCATACAAATGTACATTTTGTAGGCAAAATAGTGAGATTTTTGGGTTTGAATTACCAGGCGAACAGGAATTGCAGAAGGTGACCAACGATCTTTTGGTTTTTGGCAGCAACCTGCTGCTGATTATGATCTCCTGGTAATTCAGTCCGAAAAGTCTACAATTTGCCATAAAAATGTACATTTTGTAGGCAAAATAGTGAGATTTTTGGGTTTGAATTACCAGGCGAACAGGAATTCCAGAAGGTGACCAACGATCTTTTGGTTTTCGGTAGCAACCTACTGCTGATTATGATCGCCTGGTAATTCAAGCCGAAAAATCTACAGTTTGCCATAAATATTTACATTTTCTAGGCAAAATTGTGAGATTTTTCGGCTTAAATTACCAGGCGAACAGGAATTCCAGAAGGTGACCAACGATCGTTTGGTTTTCGGTAGCAACTTGCTGCTGATTATGATCGCCTGGTAATTCAATTCGAAAAATCTACAATTTGCCATGCTTTCGGTATGTATGTATGTTTTCGGTATGTATGTATGGTTTTCGGTATGTATGTATGTATGTATGTATGTATGTATGTATGTATGTACATATGCATGTTGTGTAACTACAATTTGCCATAAATATTTACATTTTGGAGACAAAATTGCGAGATTTTTCGTTTTAAATTACCAGGCGAACAGGAATTCCAGAAGGTGACCAACGATCGTTTGGTTTTCGGTAGCAACCAGCTGCTGATTATGATCGCCTGCTAATTCAATCCGAAAACTCTACAATTTGCCATAAATATTTACATTTTGGAGACAAAATTGAGAGATTTTTCGGTTTAAATTACCAGGCGAACAGGAATTCCAGAAGGTGACCAACGATCGTTTGGTTTTCGGTAGCAACTTGCTGCTGATTATGATCGCCTGGTAATTCAATTCGAAAAATCTACAATTGTATGTATGTATGTATGTATGTATGTATGTATGTATGTATGTATGTATGTATGTATGTATGTATGTATGTATGTATGTATGTATGTATGTATGTATGTATGTATGTATGTATGTATGTATGTATGTATGTATGTATGTATGTATGTATGTATGTATGTATGCATGCATGTATGTATGTATGTATGTATGTATGTATGTATGTATGTATGTATGTGTATACATGTACATATGTACAGCAGTTTGCTACCGAAAACCAAACGATCGTTGGTCACCTTCTGGAATTCCTGTTCGCCTGGTAATTTAAGCCGAAAAATCTCACAATTTTGCCTGCAAAATGTATATTTTCAATGCAAATTGTAGAGTTTTCGGATTGAATTAGCAGGCGATCATAATCAGCAGCTGGTTGCTACCGAAAACCAAACGATCGTTGGTCACCTTTTGGATTTCCTGTTTGCCTGGTAATTCAAACCGAAAAATGTCATAATCCGCAGGGATCCGTAAAATAGAAATGGAAGTAGGGTGGCTTCCTCTGGCTTTGACTGTGCTACTTATTTATGGGAAGGGGGACTCGGCGCCCAGTGAAACTTTATTGAATTGCTGGCATTACTGATCTTATTCTTCTTGATGATGTTGATGTTTCTGCTGTTGTCAGCGGAAGTGCATCGCGTTACATGCAAACAAAATGAAACCAACACCTACGCACAATTCCCACCAACAATGGGCAAACGTATTGCTACAAACCCGCCTGAGCCAATCAGTTGCTTGGGCTTGGCACCCAGCACCCAGCAACCAGCACCCAACTCCTAGCATCTTGTTTTGCGAATCGAACCGCAGCAGAAACCGCAGCCCCAACCACCATCCTGGCCCCACTTTGGGGGGCTCCGATTCATTTTAGCTGTATCACCATTTTTGGCCAAGATATGGAGAAAACCCCGATTGAAAATATCAGATCTTTTAAATGTTTATTTTGTGATATTGTGGTAAAAAATAATCAGTATTTTTACGATAGCAATAAACATAGTTGTCCAAACCTAGAATGTCATACCCCGTTGAATTCGTAACAAAATTCCCTATCGATCTGTATGTAAACCAAAAAATTAAAATTTTTGGCCTTTTTTCGCATTTGTTTATTTGTTTATAGGCACAAAACAGCCTTCATTTTAGCTGTGCCAACTTTTTTTGGCCAAGTTATGCGGAAAACAGACTTTAGACATCAGTCAATCAGATAATGTAGTAAGTACGAACTGGGCACTCAAAGTTAAAGTGTTGCCAACTTTTGTGCAGCGTTTTGAAACTTAGCACCTGAAAATGGTTGTGTACTTTTGGAAGATTTTTCGGATTAAAACACTGGACGAACAGAAATTTCTTAAAGCTCCAACGCTCGGTTGGACACCTGATTCTGCTTATGCTCTCCTGTTACCAGAAATCAACAAATTTGTCATAAAAATCTGCATTTTTAGAGCAAATTGGGTGATTTTTAGGATTAATACACCAGGCGATCAGAAATTCTAGAAGACGACCAACGCTCAGTTGACAGTTGGTTTTTGGCATAAACCTGCTACTGGTCCTGATCGCCTGCTAACAAAAATCCAGAAAATTCTCTATTAAATGCAATACCATAAATTAAATTACCAAATATAAAGTGTTGATAGGCACTTCCACTTTTTCTCTTGTATATTGCTATTTGTACTGGGGTACATTTATTTAACAAGTTGGTTATTACAAGCAAGTGTCATTTGCTATATAATTTAGGTAAGTAACATAATAACAAAAAAAATTTCATCTGGGATACATATGTACAGTATTTACAAAACTGGTTAAAGATTGATTTGAAGGCTTGGGCTAAGATTAGGCCCAACCTCCAGCTGGCTGCCAACCGCCGCCACCGCCGCCTCCATGGCCGCCGCCACCTCCATGGCCTCCAGAGCTTAGCTTGATGATTTTTATGACTTTGGTTCCGCCACCTCCGCTACTTCCATGACCACCACCTCCGCCTGATGACCAACCGCCACCTCCTCCTCCTCCTGAAGACCAGCCTCCTCCTCCACCACCATGTCCTCCTCCACCGCCTCCGAGACTTATGATTTTGATGAGTTTAACATCGCTGCCGCTCCCGCCGCCTCCCCCTGAGGACCAGCCACCCCCGCCACCTCCAGAAGACCATCCACCTCCTCCCCCGCCGCCTCCTGAAGACCATCCACCTCCTCCTCCGCCGCCATTCTCGGTGATTACTTTTATAATTTGCACGTCTCCTCCGCCTCCATGACCACCACCTCCTGATGACCAACCGCCTCCACCTCCTCCAGAGGACCAGCCACCTCCTCCGCCGGGCTTAGGCTTAGCCGTCACACTGGCCGCTCCGATGAGCAAGAGACACACAAAGGCCTGAAAAGCATAAGACCTTATTAGAATCACTTAAAAAAAAAGGTAAGCACGGAAGCCAGCGCAATAATTTAGGATAATTCAGGATAATTTAGTAGTTGTCCTGGCGTACGACGAACCGTACTTTCATAGCTTGAAACACTCCGTTTGGGTTTACTAGTGGGTTAGGTGCAAATCCACAACTGACACGACCACAGATGGCAGCGAGAGTTTTTATACCAAACTTTAACCGGAAAAGCTTGGCTCTGCTAGACGGCAAAAGGAAAAACATTTTTAACGCTTAGTGTGTGGTTGGCAGATATTGGAGGTGCTGCCGAGGCACTGACAAGAATAAGTGGTAATCTAAAAAAAGTTTATATTGGAACGAGTTTTCAAAAGCTAATACATTTAAATTCTCGTATACGTTAGTCCCTTTTAAAATATTATAATATATATTTTAATAAATAATTTATATATAATATATATAAATATATATATATACAAAAATATATATTTATTTACAAAATTGTACAATAAAATGCACATATTTTTTTTTGTTATAGGCGAATGCGACCTACAAATGTACTAAATTCCTACAACATAAAAATTGTAGGTATTGATTTTTTTCTGTGTTATTGTTGCAATATGGGCCAAATGGTGCCGCATCATCGTCAGGGGGAGGATTCAACAATGGGCATTAGTTTTGAAATCCCAATGGATGGGGTGAAAAAAACAGCAGGCGAAAGCTGCAGACAACTCATAACTGCAACTCCATCCGATCGCTGCATCTGCAATAGTTTTGTAGTCAGCCAAAGATTTGTTTGTATTGTAAATGCACATCTCCCAACAGACAAGTTGATGGGGCACCTTTCCCATTGCATAATCCGCAACATTGCCGGTCACAATAGCAACTTCAGCCCAACTTGCAACTTGTGACGTTGTGCGATGCTATTATTTGATTTGCATCTGGTGGTATTGATGGTAATTTGGTCCAAAACTTTGACAACGTCCCTCAGAGGCAATCATGATGACTAGTCAATCAATTCGCAAAAGACCAACTACAATAAATAAACACAAAAACGCCAGGCTGGATTATGATGATGATTTCAGAACGGAAAAGGCCCTTTCATAAGCTTACTTGGTTTAGAAGTTGTTTTAGCAATACAATACCGATTTACTAGTTCAATTAATCAGTTTAGGTAAGAAGGTTGTACCTAGGATACCCTGTTTAGCATAAGTGCGCAATAAAATTTTGAAATTATCATGAAACAAAAAACTATTTTCAGTTGAAAACAAACAAGGCTTTATAATACAAATAAACCATTTGGAATACATTAACTACAATGATATATGAATATGTAACACAAAAATATTTTTTGTATAAAAAATACCCTTTCCAATAAATGTGCAGGTTAAAATCCAAATAAACACAGATTTGATAATATGGATTCATTAGGTGACTTAATTTCTTTGACTTGTAGATGAAAACATAATTTCCATAAAATGATTGTTATTATTATTTAAAACTATACATTTTTATGTACATACTGGAAATATGCATAGACTTTTAGTATTGCATTTTCTAAGTAGCATTGGCAGGCAGGCTGCAGTCACAGTTTCATGTCGGTCTCCACCAGCGCCGGCATCATCTGTAGTGTAGTGGATCAGCGGGTCAACGTCCCGTGGGATCAGTTTAAACTACAATGCGGCGCAGTGAAAACGTGTTTGTTGCCTCCATGAACTTATAATACTTTTGGCGTGTGTGTCCTCTCCTCCCCCCAGTGTAAATTTTGGGTTGAGACTGGGGGTTTAGTCAGCGAGACAAAAGCACTCAGTGAATTAAACAAGAGACGTGGGTAAACTTTCTGCGAATTCCGAATTGTTACGTCACTGCACTATATGCTATTATGGGCCGACAAAAGTAATCTCAAAATTTACATTCGCTTATTCTGGTCAAGGTTTGAAAAAGATTAATCGCATCTTTAACCCTTCAAATCAAAGTTGTATAATAAAAATGGTTGTCTATGTCGTACACTCTTTGGTTTATTTATTAATTATGAATAGTATTCATTATCGTTAGCTATTAGGTAATATATTTAAGTTTAAAGTGATGCTCTCTGGTTACATTGCATTACGTTCTTCCTCAGTTGTCCTAAGTTAATTGTATAATTTATAAACTCTTCCCTCTTTTTCTTCATTATATATTCATTGGTTAGTTATAGCGAATGTTGCACAAGTATATTTACCATATATATATAGTCCCACGTACAAGTAACGCTTATAATGTTTAAACCTTGGCATACGTTTGTTACAATTGTATAGCTAACATAATTTAGATTTAAATTATTTATAGAGCAAAAAAAAAAACGTCACAAAAAATAGTAGGAATAAGGGTTTTACCAGTAGTTAAAGATATTTATCTATGCAAAGTCTGAACTGCTTACGCGCTTTATACAGAGAAAGCACTCTTGACTAGACATACGATGACTAGATGGTTTATATTTTTGGGTAGACGGGACCATTGGGTTCCTATTGCTTCTGTCTCCGTTAGCAACACCTTTCAGGTACTTGGAAAACATTCTTTTGGTGGGGCAAAAGGAACCCTAAGTTATAGACGGGCAGTCAGTCAGGAGAGCCATGGCACGTCAATCGCTCAATCCAGGCGAGATTATGCCTTCTATGGGATCCAGCTATTGTTCCATAATAATCGTGTCTTCAGACTTCACGTTGCCGGAATTAATGGCCTCCATGGCCTTGCTTAGCAGAGTGGCGTCCTTTAAGCTGACCACCTGTACCAGCTGGGGCTCTTGGCCAGGACCTCCCTGAATCATCATCTGATGCATACCAGGCGACATGGTGATGGTCTCCAGCTGGTCGCCATTTTCCACCTTTCGGGATGTAAAAAAACAAGGGTTAGCATAGTTAGTAGAGAAACAAGTTTATAGTATTTCTTTACAGATCAAGGGGTCCTCGAAAAATCTTCAGTTTTTCTATCTGGTTAAAAGGAAAAGAAAATAAAGTATAAAATTTTAACATAAAATGTATAATAGCAAAATATACTTACATTATCTCAATAAAAAATCAGGACAAGCAAAAAGGGTTTAATCTGAGGCCAACAATAGTTAAAAATAAAAAAATGATTTGGAAGTTAAATTGTTGGCTTTATTTAGCATTTCAATTACACAATATACAAGCAAATATTTAAAAATAAAATTATAATAAAATCACAACAATCGCTTTTTTTTTTAAATTTGTGGCTTCTCCATTTTTTCCTTTTGCAATTGACTTGGCTTGATTAAAAATAAGATTTGGTCTAAAACAATTGAAATTGCGATTAATATGAAAATCAAACATGTAAACACAATAATTATGATAAAAGCAATATTAATTTCATTGAAACACAATAGCAATAATGGAAATATTAATAAATCAACATAAACTTAATTTTGCACCCACTTTCTGGAGAATATATTAAATATCCCTCCACATATATAGCACATTTATATCTCCCGACTAAAGGCAAACACCTCCTATGATAAACTCATTTTCCCGCCTTTGCGCATTTTTAATGCGAATTGACTCCATTTAAAGGATTACATGGTGGGTAAAAAAATGTGGTTTGGAGCTAAGAGTCACGGGGTTACAGGTACATCTAACTTTATGTTGGCTGATCCCTGTTTGCTTTCTTACTTACAGGCTAAATCTAACATAATTGTACAACTTACATTTTTAATATTTGGTTTGATTCGCACTCTTAGCAAGATTACATTCATAAATATATGTCCTCCACAATTTAACAACTAAACAAATGGCTAAAACTATAAAATATTACGTTTTGTAGCTCTGTAAACTAGGAACAACTTTAGTTTTTAATTTAGAATTGATATTTGGTTTAAATTTTCAACAAATTTTTTGGTTTTCTATTCTCGGCACTAAATTCAATTTATATATTAGTTATGGATTTCCTTTGGCTGTAACTATTTAGAGTTTTTTTTTGGCATTCACGATGTGCGCGTCTAAGTTTAAATGGCAAGTGCAGTTGGGCGTTTCTTATTTTTCTGTTTGTGGAAATCCGCAATTGACTAGATTCGAGATAATATGGATTATTAAATGAGAGACTCTACCCCGAATGCTCCAGCTTGATGGCTGGCAGTTGAAGTTGCACACTGGTTAAACTGGCGCTGTCCACACAACGGATGGAAGAGGAAGTACCGGAGGAGTAGGAATTTTCATTGGCATTTAGTTGGGACTTGTTTTTTGGTGAGGAATTGGGTCTCCCACGCTTCTGAGCCATTACTAGCTCTCCTCCCCCACTAACCGCAGTGGATCTCCTGGTGGATCTCTTGTTGATCACCTGGGGAATGCTAGGAGTGGCCAATACTATTGGCAGGGGCATGGGCATCTTTACGCTATTATTGTTATTTGCTAGGGTGCTATTATTGTTGTTGTTGTGCCCTAAACTGCTGGACGTGGTGGCTAGGTAGTAACGTTCCCCAGGAGTGACCTGATGCCCAATCACCCCGCCACTGCGACGGCCTAGGACTGACGATCCCGCCGAGATTAGCGAGTAGCACTGAACGCCGCCATTTGTCAAAGAGGATGACGCACTGGTGGCGGTACTGGTGGAGCGATTGACACTTGTATCTACCTGCATTGGCGCGAGGCACACTGTTCCATCACTGTTCGTCTGGATCTGCTGCACGTTGGCCATCACCGACTGGTACATAGAGACGGGAACTGAGATCACATTGCTCACCGAAACGGGATATCCTAAAAAAAAGTGCGTTTGGTAAATGCGTATTGAAATGATAAAGGTAACTTCAACGCAGAGTACATCGCGATAATAAATACCTTGGCCATCCTCCGTTGTAATATATATTTGCCCATCCTGAGTCTCGGTAAGATCTACGGTCATGTTCTCATGACCATTTACATCAGTGAGACTCTGAACTGTTTGGATGGTAGCGCCGCCTTCACCTTGGTGGAGCTTGAAAAAAGATTTGCCGGTAAGGACTCGAATGAGAATGTACAGATCAGTAAATGTACTTACCGTGGCGACCCCTTGAACCTGGGCAGTTGTACCATCCGGTAATGTGATAATAGGATTATTTGGGTCTACCTGGATTAGCGATACGGTGCCATCGGCATTCTGTGAGAGGACCGTTTGCGTGGTGTACTGTGTATAAAGAGTTAATTACAATAAGTAATAACATTTTAAT